ACTTCCTCTATGGCTGGCTGGTTACTGCATCTCCACCTTTCCTCTTCCCAGAATTCTCCCAGTCTGGTTTCTCTGCCTATACTTCTTGCCTGGCTACTGGCCAATCAGTGTTTTATTAAACTAATACGAGTGACAAATCTTTAGAGGATTCAAGAGCATTATCCGACAGCATACTTATTAAATATGGCCTAGAAAATATATGCTCTTTTGTATATAGGCATTTATTTATGTTCGTATATGTAATGAATACTTTGAGAATTTTATGTACATATGGAGTAGATTTTGTGTCTGTGTGTCTGAGTATTGAATCAAACTTGCTTGTTATGAAGGTCTTTATTTCATGTCTACTTAATCTCTTGGTTTGACGGTTATATTAAAGTCTCATTTTATGTACTTATTTCCAATCAGGTTTCTGTTTTGTAGCTGAAGATACTTTTTACATTCATAAGCTTTAATAACATTTTATTTTACATTTATACTAAATGAAGTTATGCTGATATTCACTGTTACCTTTTACCTATACTTAGACTTTTAGTTTGAATTCTTCTTCTTTTTTTTTTTTTTTTTTTTTTGGTTTTTCGAGACAGGGTTTCTCTGTGGTTTTGGAGCCTGTCCTGGAACTAGCTCTTGTAGACCAGGCTGGTCTCGAACTCACAGAGATCTGCCTGCCTCTGCCTCCCGAGTGCTGGGATTAAAGGCGTACGCCACCACCGCCCGGCCCTTAGTTTGAATTCTTATGTTTGTTTCTTGAATTGTAATTGCCAGTGTGCCTAATATGTATGCCCGTTGGTGCTTGTGTTGGTGCACACCACTTACATTACAGACATATAAATGTTATGTTTGTACATAAAGTATATATGAGTATATGAATTATACAGCTTTGGAAAAGTTACTGCCTTTTAGTAGCAAAGTTTATTGGTTATATCATATGTGAACTTGAATGTTTCTCAATAGACATTACAAATTTTTACTTCCAAATAATTTTTTAAAGTGTCATCCTGGGGATTAGGCTATGGCTTTAACATGCTAGGCAGTAGTTGTATCACTGAACTGTATCCTAAGCCTGCAGGTAATCTTTTATAGATAACTTGTTTTCCTCCTTTTTATCCAGTATTGCTATTGCTTGATATTATTACCTGGAAATGATCTTTTCTTCTGTCTTGTGTGTGTATGTGTGTGTTTTCTAAAATTCCCACCTGTCCTCGTTCTTAAGATTTTGCTGTTCCTCGACATGGGCTGTTTTAGTCTGAAGCGGATCTTTAGGAAGTTCAGAGAACAACGGGGAGCTTTTTATAGGAATGCAAAGATCTGTGAAAATGACAAAGACCGTGTTTTATTTACGTCTCTTGTCCGTTTAGTTAGAATTATGCTTAAATATTAATGCTTATTTAGGTATCATAAAATTTCAACTAGAATAATTTATTTGATTACGACTCGTTTTTCTTTCTAGTGTTCTTTTCGGCCTTTTATTGACCTTCTGGGTCAGATTTCCACATAATTGTCTTTAGTTTTTCTCTCCCCTACCCTGTCTAACTCACTCTCTCCCAGCTTGGGCTCAAACTTCAAAACTGTGATCTTCCTCTTTGAAATACTATTGTTGGTTCTGTTTTGGTTTGTGCTGTAGATTTCTTTTTGGATGTCATTTCAGTTGAGTTCAAGTTTTGGAAGAGCTTTTATAATTGAAGTTTTATTTATACTATTACTAATACTTTTACTGACCCTTAAAAGCTTTTTATATTAATACTACATTATTACACATTGCTTTTGCTTATCTATCTCTTCTTTGCTCTCTTTAATGATTGTGCAAAATAGAAAAGGAGAAATTAAAATTCATATTTTTCTAACCCAGGCTGGCCTTGGAACTCACTGTGTATTGTAACCCATGCTAGTCTTAAATTCATGGCTTCATCCTCCTGAGAGCTGGGGTTATGGATATGTGCTGTCATGCATGGGTATGGTTTATGAGTGCTGGCAATAGAGAAATTACATGTGAAAAAATCATTCTTTGACTTTTTTTGTAGTTTTACAGCTAAGTTTTATGGTTTAGAAAGATATCTACCATTTGTATGTCACATTTTCATTCAATGTCAGATGTTCTTTAATTAACTATGTGATTCTAGGAGAAGGACTTGAAAGGTTCACTTAAGTGCAGGTTCATGTTTCTCTTTCTTGATACCTTTATAATATAAATTATTTTACTGGATAAGTTCTAGTACTTATGAAAAGTATCTAATGTCAAGTAAGCTTTTTTTTTTAATCGAAGATATAATTAAAATAATATATTGGCATTTCTAAAATGACATACTTTGGGGAAAGGATCAGTTTAAACTACATTTTGTCTTACGATGCACTTACACTATAACTCATTTATTTGCCAAAATTATTTTTATGCAAAAGGTTTTTGCGCAGCTTGCCATATTGTATCAAACAAAATAAGGGATCTTAGATTTTACCAATCTGCCAGAAAATACTTTTATTATTTCAGTGAGTTATTATAATTATTTCCCTGCACATTAATTGCATTTTCTTAGCTTAACATTTCTTGGTCTTTCTGTGTGACATTTACACTGAGTAGATTCTCATGGATAATCCTGAGTCTGTTAATATTCCAAAGAAAGCTAAGTTCCTTGGAAAGTTATATTATAAAAATACAATTCATTTAGGAACAGTTGGTTACTATAATCTATATCAATAAAGAGAAATGAGACTTTATTTTTTTTGTTTTCTGTCTTTCAGAAAGTAATATTCTAAGTAAAAAAATAGAATGGCAATTTATAGTTAGTATTCTTATGGATATTGCATGAAATTAAAGTGTGACAGGTTAATTAGTAATGATCAGTGGTTTCTGGAGTTGAATTAAAATTGGATAGAAGACAGACAGTATTTACTGTAGTGGATTGATGATAGTGAAAAAATATTCAACAGTATATGATAATACTAGATATATAGAAAAATATTGAAATTAATTATAATTAAAAATCTGTTATCCTGATTAGCAGAATATAGATTGAATGCATTAGTATGTGGGGCATGCAATAATATTTGAAGAGTCCGCTTTCCTCTGCTAGTTAAATGAAGGTTTAGTTGTTTTAGCTAGGCTTTTTATGAGCCTCATTTAGGAACACATTTACCAAAATGAAGTACGTTTGGTGTATAAGTATGAACATGTGTTCATTAGGCCTTTCTGTGTCAAAGCATTGTGTGTGTGTGTGTGTGTGTGTGTGTGTGTGAGAGAGAGAGAGAGAGACAGAGAGAGACAGAGAGACAGAGAGAGACAAGAGAGAAACAGAAACAGAGACGAGGTCTGTCTTTGCTGTTCTGGATTTCTGTTGACCAGGCTGGCCTTGAACTCAGAGAGACCCACCTGCCTCTGCCTTTCAAGTTCTTGGATTAAAGCCACGTGCCACCACGCCCGGCAGAATTCCTGGTTTCAGCTGGGCGGTGGTGGCGCATGCCTTAAACGCCAGCACTCAGGAGGCAGAGGTAGGCGGATCTCTGTGAGTTCAAGGCCAGCCTGGTCTAGTAGAGCTAGTTCCAGGACAGCAACCAAAAAGCTACGGAGAAACTCAGTCTCGGAAAAAAAAATAAAAAAAATAAAAAGAATTCCTGGTTTCATATAAAGAGAGAATGCCTTTTGGTCCCTACAGTCCAAGACCTTGGACTAGCTTGAAAAAAATAGTTATGTAAAGATATAAATACTAAGGTGCCAGACAGACTGCTCTCTGCTTTAATAATCTATGGAGTAGGAGCTGTAAATCTTCACAGTGGAAACCGAACAAGTAAAATATGAGATAATTTGGGGTGACTTCTTCTGTATTCAGTTGTTGCTTTGTTGTTTTGTTTGCTTTTTTTTTTAACCACCGTAAGAGATTGAAATGGAAAGGAAAATAAATATAGCTAGGTATTTCCCAGCTTTTGTATAGAACTAGAACTATACTAAGTGCTGTAGTTAAGTTTGTATTGTAGATTCTTTTTTAAATTGTCATCATTATCACTACTGTCTTTCCACCCCCACCAGGTTACTGAGATAGCCTCATTATATAGTCCGAGCTGTATTTTAGTTCTTCATATTCTTACCTCAGCTCTCTGAATGTTATTTTATAGGTATTTTATATACATGCCTGGCTATGAAATTTTTTTATGTGTTTAAATCATATAGGGGCCCTTCATTATTTTACAATTTACTAGTTTCTTTCATTCATGGACACACAGACACCAGACACACTGGCTATCTTGCAGCTTGCTGTGTAAACTCATCTGGTCCAGTACTCACAGAGATTCGCTTGCCTTTGTTTGCCCTCCTGATATAAAAGTTTGCCACCATGCTTAGCTTTTTTTTTTTTTAAAGAATTCTAAAAATTTATAGTCTCTTGTGGGATTTAAAAACTGATATTGTAGTAACCCTGTACTGTAAACCAGGTTTTTTCTTTGTAAAAAGATTCATTTATTTTACTTTTATGTGTGTGACTGTTTTTCCTGAATGCATTTATGTGCACCACATATGTGCCTATTAGGTCCCTTGTGACTGAGGCTATCACGCTGTGCTGATAGTTGCGCCTTGATTTATTTCAAGAGCAACAAGTGCCTTTAACCACTGAGCCATTTTCCCCAACTTCTACCCCATACAGACATATATACAAGATCTCTTGTAGCCTTGCTGGCTTCAACCTCAGAGCTTTGTGCATCCAGACAAAAACTATACCAGCAATGTACATCCATCATTCCTAAACCTGCTTTCTTCTCCCAATGTGACAACAACAACAAAAACCATTTTAGCTTAATGTTTTTGAGAAGGTAAATTGAAATACTAATTGTCTAATGAGTTGGTTGAATATGAATGAACTGGGTTTCTGAGACGATTAGCATTTTAAACTGGCCCTTTGTTTTTGTTTTTAATACATTTCAGTTGTTTTAATAGTAAGGTACAGCTATTTCTTTATTCCTTTTTACCCTTCTTCACAGTTTTTTAAAGGTGATTTCTCTCCTTTTTCTCTTTCCAGCGATGTGCATTTTGCAAACATCTTGGAGCCACTATCAAATGCTGTGAAGAGAAATGTACCCAGATGTACCATTACCCATGTGCTGCAGGGGCTGGCACCTTTCAGGACTTTAGCCACTTCTTTCTTCTCTGTCCAGAACACATTGACCAAGCTCCTGAAAGATGTAAGTGTACTATCCATGCAGTTGTAATTTCATAGGTATTTACTTAAAATATCACATGTGTATTTGGAAAGTTACTTTACTTGTATTAAAAGGTAATATAAAATTCTCAAGAAGGAAGAAATTAATATTTGAAAGATGATATATAATTCCAGTGGTCTTTGCTGTTGGATATTATGTCCTGTGCCCCCTCCCCATCCCGTATCCCGCCCCTGTCTCACTATGTAGCTCTGACTAGCCTGGAAATCATAGATCCACCTGCCTCTGCCTCCCGAATGCTGGGATTGTAGGCTTGTGCACTATACCTGGCTCACTGTAGGTTTTTGAGGGAAATCTGTAACCAGTAATTTTATTAGTATTAATTCCAAAAATGTAATTTTTTTCTGAAATTACAAGTTTTCATATTTTAAATTCTTATATAAAAAAGTTTTAAACTACTATAGAAGACATACTGAATACACAGTATCTTTAACATGTCCTAAGAGTATAGATTATTAAAGCAGAGAGTGGTCTGTCTGACACACACATCTACCTTAGTATTTATATCTTTACATAACTGGTTTTTTCATGCTAGTCCAAGATCTTGGAGTGTAGGGACCAAACAGCATTCTCTTTCTATATGAAAAGTTTAGTAAGAAAATTTGGCACAGGAAATATAGCCTGGAGCAGTATGAAAGAAATGATGAGGGTGACACCCCCCTCCTCCCCTTACACACTTTCTGTATGTAAGTCAAAAATTTGGCCATTCCAAAAATTAATACAAGGAAGAAAATGTGAGCACTTAATCAGATTCACAGTATTATTTTAGGATTTTACTCCATACTAAGAGGAAAAGGTAAGTGGACACTGCATGATATATAGTGGAAATAGTGAAAAATTGCTTCACAGTACCAGTCCAGAAGTATAAACATACCCTGCAGATATTTTTGTCTTTCTTTCCTTATCTTTAAGCCAGTAGTATGAAACCAGTGCCCAATAAAGTAAATTTTATTTTCGGAAGATTTTTAACAATGCACTATAAAAGTTCATCTTTCAGATCACCTGTCACATGTGCACACATGTATGTGGAGGTGCATTTGCATAGTAGATTCCTGAGGTTAATGCGGTTGCCTTTTACTATTGATCTTCATCTTTTGAGAGAGAGTTTCTCACTGAATCAAAACTCACAGCTTGTCTAGACAGGCTTATCAGTAGGGAGCTGCCCGCACTTCTGTTGTATTTATTGCCCTCTAACTCCACCTTCATCACAAGCTGCAGTTGTGCATGGTAGCCATACCTGGCTTTCACATGTGTACAGTGGATACAACCCTAAATTCTTTTTCTGACCTTTTCAGTATATTGGAAGGAATCCATAATTTAACTTTTCTTCATGGGATTGTTTGATAAGCAGACCACAAAGCATTGTCCTGCCAGTCAAGAAAGTGGCAAATAGTATTTGTCTTAGTGTTGTTAGAATTAGTAAGCTTTGCTGACTTTATCCTGAAGTTTTTTCCCCCCTGTGGAGCAGCTTGACTTGTTGCTCTTTACCATTGCTTCATTGTGTTGGCTGGACTTTCTGCGTACACATCAGCAGTTTGTCAGATCTGGCAATCAGTGCCCTTCTCCACTGAGCCATCTCTTAAGCAGTTCTTATTGACCTTTCTTAGGGTCCCTTTACCTTCCAGTTGGAGCAATTTATTTCAGAGCAAAGCTCAGCATGTTTGTCCTACCTCTTGCTCTCCTTGTTTCATAACTATAGGTAAGGGACTACACCTGATCTTAGCCAAAAGCAAAAGTAAGCTGGAGCTCAGAAATTGGCCACCAGAGATAGCTTTTCTGTCTGTTATTGTCCTGCTGTGAGAATTTTGTTACCCCTACTTCATTAAGCATCTATGTCTAATGCTTCTTCTCTTTTCCTACTTTTGTGCTTATCTTCAGGTATTCTTTACTTTCATTAATGATTATTAAAATTTTCTTAGGTAGAAGTACCGATTACCAAATAGTAAAAAGTTTGATCTTCAAAGCAAAATTTACCTGGATTTGATTCTTGTAGACCAGGCTGACCTCGAACTCACAGAGATCTCCCTGCCTCTGCCTCCCAAGTGCTGGCATTAAAGGTGTGTGCCACCACTGCCTGGCCTTAATGATTCCTTTAAATTTTGTTTGTTTGGTTGGTTGGTTTGTTTTTGCCCTCTCTTAAGTCAATCCCTTTTGGTTTTCCAACTGCTTAAAGAAATGTTTCGTTTAGTGGTTTGATTAGTGCTTCATTTTTTAATGGCTCTGTGGCTTGCTGACATACCCATATTGTGTGTATATATGTACTTTTTTCTTTAAAATTTTTTTTTAGGCCGGGCGGTGGTGGTGCACGCCTTTAATCCCAGCACTTGGGAGGCAGAGGCAGGTGGATCTCTGTGAGTTCGAGGCCAGCCTGGTCTACAGAGCTAGTTCCGGGACAGGAACCAAAAGCCAAGGAGAAACCCTGTCTCGAAAAATCAAAAAAAAAAAAAATTTTTTTTTAGGAACTGGAGAGATGGCTTAGAGGTTAAGAGCACTGGATGCTTTTTCAGAGGTCCTGAGTTCAAGAAACAGCAACCATCCTCAGTGAGATCGGCAGGGATACATGCAGGCAGAATACTATATATATAATAGATCAATAAACCTTAAAAAAAGAAAAAATCTAATATTAAAAAAATTTTTAAGAAAGATTTTATTTTTATTTTATGTATGGTGTTTTGCCTGCATGTATGTCTGTCTGTGCAACATGAGGTGCATGCAGTTTCTGTTAAGGCCAGAAGATGGTGGTGGATTATCTGGAACTGGAGTTATAGATGGTTGTGAGCCATATGGGTGTTGGAACTGAACCTGGGTCTTCTGAAAGAGCAGCCAAGGCTCTTAACCACTGAACCATCTCTCTAACCCCATGCATGCACTTCTGATGCATCACCAGCAACATAAATCTTACACATGCCCTCAGAAGGATTATTTGGTGTTGCTACATGTGCTTGCTCTTTAACTGCTTTCATTCCTTTTCGTAGTGTTTTTTATTACTCCTATCTTTTACTTCACATTGATGTGTTTCTTTGACAAGATTGTCATGTAGGTGCTACTGAGAAAATAGCACAAAATAAACAAAATAAATAGCATTTCCTTCATAAATGATATCTTGAGTAGTTACAGACAGAGTGAATGCGGGCTATAATTATGTTGGTGATAGAAATGAAATATGAGCAATATAAATAATTTTAGTATATTTGGGAGCATATTTGATGAAAAATATTTGCAATTAATTTTAATATTTTAATTAATCTTATTTAAAATACTAATATTTCAACATATAATTAGTACAAAAAGTTCTTGATACTTGTTTTTTTTTCTTACTATGAATTTGGACTTATGTATTTTATATTTAGTGTGCATCTCCAACCACCAACAGTTCCTACTATGGCAAGTTAAAGTGGTAGAGCAGCAAATGCTAGGCAGTTTTACTGATGAAGCATGTTAGTGTTTCTGGAAAACTAATATAAAGGTAAAATGAATATCTGAATACCACTTGCTTCCCAATTTCTAAAAAAATAGAAGAATCATTTTTAAAAGTGCATAGTTTTTATGGGTACTAGCACTTTTTCTTAATATTAAGAAAAATAACATCCTGTATTAAATGAAACTACACTTTTATTTTTAAATTAATCACTTGTTTTATCAATACACATCTATTTTTAAATTAATCACTTATTTTATTTATTTATTCATCTAGTTTGAGACAAGGTTTCTCTCTGTAGCAGTGCAGGCTGTCCTGGAACTCATAGAGACCTGCCTGTTTCTGCCTCTGCCAGTGCTGGGATTAAAGGCATGCATCACCATGCAGGACTTAATCATTTATTTTAAAAGGCAATTAAGAGCCTTTTAAAAGTGTTCTGAAAAGTAAGCGTTCAAGAGCTGGAGACATGGCTCTGCAGTTAAGAGGTCCTGAGTTCAATTCCTAGCAACCACATGGTGGCTCACAACCATCCATCATGAGATCTGGTGCTCTCTTCTGGCGTGCAGGTGTTCGTGCAGGAGGAGCACTGTATACATAATAAATAAATCTTAAAACAAAAAAGTAAAGTAAGCCTTCAACTTAACTTAAAATACATTTAAATAAGACCTTGATTTGTTCTGGGTTATTGGAGATACAAAGTAGAAAAGTTTATGCTTCATCCTTCAAGGCTTTATTCTGTTGTGTTACAGTTAATATTTTAACAAATTTCTTTCAAGCATACAGGGAAAAGGAACATTCAGTTAAATTCCAACTTTCCTTTTAGGCGAAAAAAGACGTATTGATATTTATGTGTGCTTATATGTAAATTGCAGTACTCACTCTCACTATGCAGCTGAGGCCAACCTTGAAATCCTGATCCTTCTGCTTCCACCTCTCAGGTGCTGAGATTACAAGCATCATTTCCATATGCCATCATTTCCAGCTCCACTGACTGGATCTTTAAAACAATTAAATTGTTTATTTTGCATGCATGTATATGTGTGGCCGGCGTGTACTAAGGTGTTTGTGTGTGAAAGCCAAAGGACAGCTTGTGCTGTGGTTGAGTCTCTCCTTCCACCATGTGGGTTTTAGGGATTTTGTTCAGGACAGCCAATCTGAGCAGCAAGCACTTTTGCCAGTTAAGCCATTCTGCTGGCCAAGCCATCCTACTGTCCCTATCGGGTGGTTCTTAGTTTAAGCAGAACGCATGATTACACTTAGGATTTTGAAATTGTGCTTTGCATATCCAGATGATGATTTAGAGAGAATAGAACCATAAGTAGGAATGATTTTACTTACAAACTATTAAAATACTAAGAAAATATTATGGGCTAAACCAAAGGAAAAATGTATAGAAAATTTAATAGAGCTGGCCAGTGCTGGCTCATGCCTTTAATCTGAGCACTTGGGAGGCAAAGGCAGACAGATCTCTGAGTGGACAACAGAGTGAGTTCAAGGACAGCCAGGCTACCTAGAGACACCCCACCCCCCGTTTGTTTTTTAATAGAAATAATTGGGATCTGGTAAAGTGTACTGAGATAGGGAGATGTAATAGCAAAATGGTATTAAAATACCTGGTTTTATACATTCTTTTGAGGAAAAGAAGTAATTTTAGAACATCTGACTGTTGAGCTGTTGTGTAAGGCTTGTTGATAAAGGGTTGAGGCTTTTGAAAGAAGTCTAGAGTTGATAATGCAATTTTTAGAATATTTTGTCCCCCCCCCTTCCCCCCGGCAGGGTTTCTCTGTAGTCCTGGCTTTCCTGGAACTAGGCTGGCCTCGAACTCACATAGATATGCCTGTGTCTAAGCCCCCTCCCCCAACAAGTGCTGGGTTTAAAGACATGAGCCACCCACTGCCCAGCTTTGAGTATCAGCATTTTATGAACATTGAAGGAGTTTATACAACTATAGGGGGAAGTGTTGAGTTTATAAGGAAAGGTCAAGATAGTTTCTAGGGTAGTCAGTATTCAAAGTGGTTATAAAGATGCAGTTCCCCACAGAATTCTAAAGGGAACCTAAGGGAAATTTTTTTTTAGATGTCAACAAGGCACAGTCTAAAAAGTAGCTGTTGTATTTCATGTGGTTATTGGTAACCTCAGGTACGAGGTGATTGTGTAGCTAGACTTTATGCCGGGTGCAGTCTGCTATTTAAATCTTAGGACCTTTATATTTGCTTCAAGCTAGGAGTAATGCTCACATTTTCAAAAAACTGTAAATAAAAAACTTTAAGTCTATATTACAGGCACTGCTTTGGCTTACAAAACCTATTTACTACATAGTCCTGGGCAGAACAATGTTCTCTCTCTTTTCTAAAATTTAATTATTATCTATTTATTTCTTACAAAACCTATTTACTATATAGTCCTTGGCAAGAAAATGTCTTCTTAAAAATTAATTAAAAAATAATTAACTTTAATTAATTAATTAAAAATTAATCCTTTGAAGAAAAGGAGTATTTTCTTATTTTACATACCAATCCCAGTTCCCACTCCCTCCCCTCCTCAGTCTCACTTCCCTTCCCCTTTCCCCCCACTTTCATTCATTCCTCAAAGAGGGTAAGGCTTCCCATGGGGAGTCAACAAAGTCTAGCACATTGCTTTGAAGCAGGATCAAAGCTATAGCTAGGTTGCACAAGGTATCCTGCAAAAAGAATGGGTTCTAGATAGCCAATACAAGCATTAGGGATAAATTCTGGGCTTACTGCCATTGGCCCCACAGTCTACCCCAGCCATACAGCTGCCATCCACATGCAGAGGACCTAGTTTTGTCTATGCTGGTTCACCCACTGTTAGGCCTGAATCAGTGAGCTCCCATTAGGTTGCATAAGCTGTTTCAGTGGGTACCCCCGTCATGGTCTTGACTCCTTTGCTCATATTGTCACTCCTTCATCTCTTTGATTGGACTCTGGGAGCTCAGCCCAGCACTTTGCTGTGGATCTCTGCATCTGCTTCCATCAGTTGCTGGATAAAAAAGGTGTAAAATGACATTTAAGATAGTCATCAATCAGATTACAGGGCAAGGCCAGTTCAGAAACCCTGTCCACAATTGCTTAGGGTCTTAGCTGGGTCATCCTTGTGGATTCCTGGGAATTTCTCTAGTGCCAGGTTTCTTGCTAGCTCCATAATGGCTCCCTTAATCAAGATATCTCCTTTATTTCTTAGGACAGTGTTCTTGACTTCTGATGTAAGCAAAGGATATTGCTACTCAGTTTCAAGATACTTGACATTCAAAGACAGTAGAAAGTGCATTTAGCCAGAATGGATTAGGATGGCTGGAACAAAGAGAAAACATTGCTCTCTTAAATTTGTTACAAAGGCATATTCACATCATTATTATTGGTGTGCTTTTAAAGTACTTTGTTTCTCTTTCTACATTGTAATTTGTTTACGTTTTATTGTATATTGGGAAAAGCATAATTTATTCATACATTTATTTTTTTGTTTGTTTTAGATAGTAAATGAACTGTTAGCTCTCTTAATTCTTTTTAAATGTGGATTGGTGTAGTCTGTTTTTAGTTAAGAAACATTAATCTAATTGATATTAACATCCTAATTTTGTATTATTTGGTTTTAAGTTTTCAAGTATTTAATATGAATAAAATATTTAAAATATTTATTTTAATGTCTCTGTTGATTCCCCAATCCTCCAGCCCCTTGGTTCTTTCTAATACATGTACTGAATGTCAACCAAATGACCAGCAATGCCATTGGTATTAAAAGTATAAAATTAAATAAGAACTGCGCATGGTCTCAAGTAGATATAAGCAGAAATACTTGCAAAGTTACACGATTTAATTTCATATGGTTAAATTTATATTAAATACACTACAGTGTTTTAAGTGAAACCTTATTCTGACCTGGTATATTTGGGTAGCTTCAAATGTCAGATTTCTATGTAAATTCCCTTCAAGTGATTTTTAAACTGTTAAGAAAACTATTTACTCATAACACAACAATTTCATTGTTTTGCTGTTAATTATAGCAAAGGAAGATGCAAACTGTGCAGTGTGTGACAGCCCAGGAGATCTCTTAGATCAATTCTTTTGTACTACGTGTGGTCAGCACTACCATGGGATGTGCCTGGATATAGCTGTTACTCCATTAAAACGTGCGGGTTGGCAGTGTCCAGAGTGCAAAGTGTGCCAGAACTGCAAGTAAGTTTCTAATTTCAGCTCAAGGGTTTGTATTGAGTTTTAGTGAGACCTGTTAAATATTAAAGGTTTATGAAATATGATAAAAATAATTTATATTACAAGCGATAGTCACACTATCACCATGCCCCATACTACTAGACATTTACTAATGCTTATGTTATTTTGAAATATATCTAAATGGAACTTACCATGCTTACAGTTTGTTAATAAATGATATTATTTTTTTAAATAAAGATTAGAAAAACAAAACTTAGTTTGAGAAACGTTGGGAAGAGATTTATTAGGATAATGAAGCTGTAACTGCAGAAATAAGGTAAAGCTTTGAACCTTCAAATAAGTGTTCTGTTTGAATTTCTGTTTTAGGATGGACAAGTACTACTGACTACTATTTTGATAAAATTTTGATGTTCATTTGAAAGACAATTGCTTCTATTTAGAATAGTTTTTTTTTAAAGCATGGTGTAGAAATTAAGCATTTGGAGTTACCATTTTTTTTTAATCTGTTGTATTTCATCCTTTGACCATTTCTCCCATCTCTTCTGTAATTCTCCCTCTCAACCCATGTGTGTAGCTAGAATGGCAATTTGAAAATGTTGCTTGCATCATCACTCATGCACAAACTCTTGCAAACAGACTATTTTTGTAACCAGGAGAAAGTAAGACCCAGAGTTGCCAGGGTAGGTCCGATTTTCTGGTTATTTCATGAGAACAGTCAGAATCAGTATCATGGAATCATGAAGTCAATCAAACCATTTGCTTTCATATTTTACTAAAATTCAGGAAGAATATTAGTTAACATTTATTTGATAATGTATATGTATACTTAGATTCTTCAGAAGGGTTGTGAGAACTTAAATGATGTATGGCCTCAAGTCTATCCATATAATTGAAGATATCCCAAAAACTTGTAGAGTTTGTTAAACTAACAACCAGAGGCCTTGATGACACATCTTCTTGCTTTTTACTTATCCCTAGGTTTGATTTATAATTTTTCTTTCAACTCTTTTTAAAGTCTCCCCACCCCTCCTTGTGTCTTAATTCTTATGATCTGAGAATCAGTAATGAGTTACTAAGCATCAAGACATTATTTTGCAGAGCATGAGCCCAGTTTGGGTGCAAAAAAAGTGTTTGGAGAAAGGCTTTCAATTGTAATTCATAATTATAACATGATTATTTTTTTCCTTTTTTATTCATTGAGTTTCTAGAATTTCATTTATTATTAGTGGGCATCATGTGCAGAACTTGTGTGTGTGTGTGTGTGTGTGTGTGTGTGTGTGTGTGTTTGCGTTTGCGTGCACATACACACAGATTAGAGGACAGCTCAGTGGTGTTGGTTTTTTCCTTTTACCTTTATGTGGGCTCCAGGGATTGGACTCAGGTGGTTGGGCTTTGCAGCCAGTGCCTTTACCTATTGAGCCATCTTGCCAACCCTTTTTCTTCATTTTACATTTTTATTATTATCATTACTATTTACGGTGGCAGGAGTGGTGTGGGGTGGTGAGTATTAAACCATCTTATTTAGAGGCTTGGGTGGTGCAGGAGAATTGTCTGTATTCTGTCAATCATTGGCCAGGCAGGAAGAATAGGCGGGAAAACCAGATAGGAAGTAGAAAATGATGCAAGGAGAACAGGAGAATTCTGTGAAGGAGGAAGCTGATTCCTCCCACTCCTGCCCAGTCCACCGAAGCAGCAGGATGTGATATGCCCCACTGAAAAAAGGTACTGAGCCACACAACTAACATAGATCAGAAAAATGGGTTAATCAAGATGTGAGAGTTAGCCAGTGAGAGGCTAGAGCTAATGGACCAATCAACTTATAATTTATGGAGACCTGTGTGATTTTATTTGGGGCTTGCCGGCTGTGGGGTACTGGGCAGGACAGAAACCCCCAACTAGCAGGCCCCTTCATGTTACACTTGGGCTTGGGAAGGGTGGAAGAAGGCCAGGTGATTGGAGGTCCTGGGCAGGACAGATCTTCATGGCTTCCCTGGTGCTCTCCTCCACACTCTTTTTTTTTTTTTTTTAAAGCTCTCTTTTCTTTAAAATATTTAGCATTTACTATTATGGACGTTCTAAGCTTTTTGACCCAGCACTTTATTTAAACCTCATAGTAATCTTGGATTTTTCACTGCCATTTTATACCTGAAACTTGATTTGATGGTCACATAGTTAGAAAACCGCAGCATACATAAAAATGACAGATCTGATATCAGACCCAGCCTTCCTCTTTGGTTATGCGCCAGTGTCTTTCCAGATCATCCTGTCAGGATCTGTTCCTTCTTCCTTTCAACACAGCATAGCTAGCAGTTCTCGCTTCCCCTGAAAGATGAATATTAGTGCTTCTAAAAAAGTAATGGTGAAAGGTTGTTGCTGTAGCACCTCCTCCTCTGTAGGGATCTACAATGACTAAGACAATTTAACTGCAGTAGAAAGCTTTAAGTAGGATGACCTTTTGTGTATTCACAAGGGGCTGTCATTCTCATATTCTATACAAAGACAGAAGAGACACTGAGGTTTATGGTCTGTGCAGTTTTAAGAATGACTGTTTTCATGCATACTTATGTGACAACATACCTTTAAAGATAATGCTTATTTTTTAGGCAATCGGGAGAAGATAGCAAAATGCTGGTCTGTGATACATGTGACAAAGGGTATCATACCTTTTGTCTTCAACCTGTTATATCAGTACCAACCAATGGCTGGAAATGCAAAGTAAGTGGTTTCTTAATTTGTTTTTAAATATCCTCTAAATATTGCATAGAGAGCAGACAAATCATACTCCTTTTCAAATTCATTTATTATCATCACCTTTATAAAACATCATATTGAATTTTTGATGTATGATTTATATGTAGAAACTTTGGGTTTCTCTGTGTAACCCTGGTTGTCTTGGAATTCAGTTTGTATACCAGGCTGGTCTCAAACTCAGATCTGCCTGCCTACCTCTGCCACCTGAATGCTAGTATTAAAGGTTTGTGACACCACCACCATCTGGCTGAAACTACATGTTTTCAAAAATCTTTAATAGCATTCTACCATGAAGCCATTGTCATTTTCATTATAATGAGCCTCCCTTTTTTTAAAACTTGGAAAAAAATTCCTGGTACTCCTTGGAAATTCTTTTTTTGGTTATGTACATTTTCTCTGGCTTTCTCCATGTAGTCTTGCTTTTCTCGTTATTGATTACTGTTCATGTTTTAGAAGTTTGTAGGAATGCTTTTATTTAAATAATTTGTATTCTTTGGGAGGGGGTGGCCTTTTTGACTCAATGTAGTTGTTTTTAGATAGAGACACACCTACTTGAATACTTCTTTATTTCCCTTTTTTTGTTTTTAATGAATCACTTGTTGGCAAACATTTGGGTTGTTTATAAATTGGCAGTTTTTAAAATATGGTATGAATTTCTCAACTAATTTATTTGTTTGATGTTTTATGAAAGAACTTTGTTTTATATTGCTCATCAGCATTCCCAGTTTCCTTCTGAAGTAGGAGAATTCTCTTTATGAGGAAACTGAAAACATATTTTAAAATTTATTAACTTTTAGCCGAGAGATAAAACATACTGTGTTTACTTTAGGTACTACCTACCTTAGGCTTCTACAGCTGTAGTCTTTGTACATGCCCCTGTTATGTTGTGTTCATCTGTGCACCTGGGTTAAGTACTTGGAGTCATGCAGTTTTGAGATTCTTACCACCCTGTGTTAGATAATTTAAAATAAGTGGCTACTGACTCTGATATTTATGATTTAGATGCTTTCTAAGTCTCTCTCTCTGTCTGTGAGATAGAATCTTGATCTGCACAAGCTGTCCTGGAAGTCATCAGCCTTCTGCCTCGTGCTGAAAGTACAGTCATGCCCATTACAACAGAGTCTTGGTTTGGGGGGTTTAGATGAGGTCTATAAATATTTTTTTTGTATTATTTAGTTGCTTATATTTTTAGACTTCTTTATTTGATAGGTTACTTTTGAACATCTGTTTTCATAGCCCCCCCCCCTTAATTTTTAATTTTATGAATTTGTGTGATACTCAGCAGTTTTCACCCACATTGACTGTTTTGAACATGGTAATAGAGACAGAAGTTAGCTAAGTATAGAGCTTGTTTTTTGAGGCTTCATCTTATTAAATTTTCTGGACAAATGTACATGGAAACAGTATAGGATGTTTCTTATTCTTTTTGCTCAGGCAGCTTTATTGGACTTGTTAATACTTACATCTGGAGTTTCCATCTCCTTCAGACAAATTTCCAGATTTTTTTCTTTTTCTTTTTCTTTTCTTTCTTAAGCGTCCAAAGGGCCTATTTCTTGAAACTCATTCTGTTTGGGCTTGTGAATGTTGATGGTGTATTTTTGGGTAACAAGCTTGTTGATAGCAGAATGGCCCTTCTTTTTCTTGCTACTGTCTTTGAGAGAGCCATATGCTTTGTGTTGAAGGTGGCAGATTAGGACTTTCCCTTTTCTGTTTTCCTAAGGAAAAAAAAATTCCATGACTGTGTTTATGGTTATTATTTTGTCTGCTTTAGTATGTTTATGACCTGGAGAGGTTTGTTCAATGATGGTCACTTTAAACTTTTTTTGGGAATTTACTAAGCCTTTTTTTTTATTACTGTCTAGAAACTCTGTCACTTGATTGACAACTCTACCTACTTAGGTACTACCTTAAGTTTACTTTAAATTCTCATCTCAGTAAAACGAATTTTTTTCTTGGACGATATTAACAAATTACTACAGATTTTAAAGTTATGTAGACAGTCAAGTCAGTCATTACAGTTCTCCATATTCTTTCTTTGAAATCTTTACTAGCTAATAATAGATTCTAGTTTTATAGTTGCTGAAGACTTAGTGGATAGATAAATATTCCCTTATTTGTAGACAGGAGTTTTCATCTTTCTTCAAAAATGTAGGTATTATTTTAAAAGATTGTGTTGTCTCTGTGACATCACACTATTTATACTTCCTGAAATAACAATTAATTGCCCCTAAAATAATTAAGAAATATTTCTTTCCATTAGGATGTATGACTAAAGAAATTATGTATGACACATCCATATGTCCCCCCCCATTTACTTGAGTTATTGCAGTTTTTTTTGTTTTTTGTTTACTTTTTGTTTTTCAAGATAGAGTTTATCTGTCTAGCCCTCGCTATACTTGAACTCATTCTAAAGACCAGGCAGGCCTCAAACTCACATTCCCCCGAGTGCTGGAATAAAAGCATGCACCACCACCTGGCAGTTATTGTAATATTAATTTAAAAATAAAACCAAATAGAATTTATAAAGTAAACACAATTGAGTAAAAATTAATATAATGTAAGCCGGGCGGTGGTGGCGCACGCCTTTAATCCCAGCACTTGGGAGGCAGAGGCAGGCGGATCTCTGTGAGTTCGAGGCCAGCCTGGTCTACAAGAGCTAGTTCCAGGACAGGCTCCAAAACCACAGAGAAACCCTGTCTCGAAAAACCAAAAAAAAAAAAAACAAACCCAAAAACAAAAAAAAATTAATATAATGTAACAAATTTTATTTGCTGCAAACCTGTCAAGACCAGGTTTAATGGGGAGGTATGTCCTCAGATCCAGGTCTTTGACTTTAACTAATTTGACACAAAGTTTTTGCATGAAAATAATATATAATTAAAATTGTTTTTCACTTAACCAAATAGCAATCACTGTAAAATTGAGAGCTTACTTTCTTTCCAATTCTTTACATTTTATTTGTTTTAAAAAACACACAGCACATACCAAATTGAAATGTGTGCCAGCCAAATTTCAAGCATTTAATAGCCACATGTTTGGGGTAGCTGCCATGTCAGAACACAATTTCAGGCTCTGGTGATTTCCCAAGCACAACATGTTTTTCTACCATGGGAGGCCAATAATTGAAACAGTGGGCACTCCTTTTCTATAGATCATGGGTAATAGGCCAGGTAAATAAGAACATTTAGTGTTAATGTTTCATTCTATCAATTGCAATACTCTGCTGTTTTCAAGAACAAATCAAGGTGATATGCATGGAATCATATCTATTTGATCTGTTTCTCTTTTAAACAAACTGGTTACCTTCTGGAGTTGCAGATGTTAGTTGTTTAGAGGCAGGGCATTTGGTTCCTTGCAGATACAGTGAGCTCCATCAAGGGATCATTTAATCTTGTTTGTTTGTTTATTTTATTTTTTTATTTAATCTTGTTTGTATGAGTTGCACTGGTTCATTTCAAGTACCCCAGAGTGTGTTCATTAGCTAGACCTACATTTATGATGTTATGCAACTCTTTTTTTTTTTTTTTTTTTGGTTTTTCGAGACAGGGTTTCTCTGTGGTTTTGGAGCCTGTCCTGGAACTAGCTCTTGTAGACCAGGCTGGCCTCGAACTCACAGAGATCCACCTGCCTCTGCCTCCTGAGTGCTGGGATTAAAGGCATGCGCCACCACCGCCCGGCTAGTGATGCATCTTTTTCCCCCACAATAAAAAAGAAAATCTCTCTTTGTTCTTATATCTTTCATGGCACCCAGGGTTAGTGCAAATAAATGCAGGCATCCCTGACCCCAGTCATTTAATTTTATTTTCATTTTGATTATCATTTTATTTTATTTATTTTATTAATTTTCCCTCCCTCCCCCCACTGTTCTTTTTCTAGGGTCTTCCTTTTGTAGCTCAGTGTTTCTGCTGCCTCAGCTTCTAGTGCAGAGGATACAAGCGAAAAATGATTCCTAGTTTTATGAATAAGTTCCAGTTCTTAGTTGTTTTGTTTGTTAGTTTTTTTTTTTTTAAATAGAGCTGTCTTCTTTGGTTTTCCTGCAGCCTCATGTTCTTGTCCCATTGGCCCACTAAACAAAGGGCCTCTGGTTTATGTCCTAGCTTTATTGTCCAGTGTACTGTGTGTTTGGCATTTTCCCTATGTTTGAAGGCCTGGAGTGAATCTGAGAAGGTGGCACTTGGAATTGGGGGTGTGGGTTTCCTGGGCTAGGGAGAGTGGTAGAACCCACAGAACAGTAAGAGTTTTCATAAGAGAGAGGGAGTGATGGTCTGTGGAAGAAGGGAGGCACCAAATGTTGTAATGGCATTTCATTTTTATTTTAATAAATAAAGCTTGCCTGAAGTTTAGAGAGTGAAACAGCCACATTGGCCAGCCTTACTGACTAGGCCGCAATAACATACTTTTATTCTCAGTAGCCACACTAGTTTGCCATAGAAACCGGGCGCCTTTCATCCCAGTGGTGCCCACCTTTAATCTCAGCCCTAGAGAGGATTATAAAACGGGAGGAAGCCACTCTGAGACAGTCTCATTCTGAGCTTTCTGGAGGCAGGATCGTAATTTCAGACTGAGGTCGAAGTAAGTGCCAGTGGCTGGCTGCTTTGCTTTTCGGATCTTTAGATTGAACCCCAGTTTCTCTCTATGAGTTTTTAGTAATCATGCTTCAACCAAACTGCCTTGAGCAGGCTTCTTATGTCCTGTTACCCTCTTTGGAACTGCTTTCTAGTGCTTTTCACACTTCTAATTCAGAAAAGCTGAGGGTGCTGATAAGGAAGGTACTTGGGCCTTATGTCTGGTGTCCTCTTGTTGGGGATGATTGGCACCTGGCATTGGAGGCTGCTTGCTATCAAGCATTTTCGAGCGGGCCCCAGTGAGCCCTATTAGGCAATAGCTGGAATGGTGATAAGTGAGAGGTGGAGTGCGGGCAGAAGGGCTCATCACCTGGAGAGCAAGATTTAAGTAACTGTGCT